CGAAAATCTATACATGTTTCATGATGCAGCCACAGTAGCACATACAGGGGTTCGCAGAACTTACATGAAGTTTAAGAAAAGGTACTACTGGCCGAAGATACTAGATGGTGCACAATTACGTCGAGACATGTGAAACATGCGCTCGATCAAAGTTAAACATCCAGCGAAAGAAGAGATTAATGATACTGATACCCATTCCGGAAAGACGCTGTGAAGTAGTGACAATGGACTTCATTACTGGACTACCCGTGTCGGAAGGGTACGATGCTATTTGAGTCATCACAGAAAAGCTGTCGATGAGACCAATCTATGCGCCGAAATATAAGACTGCAAATTTCAAAGACATATCCAAGTTATTTTCTATGCCGTAGTCCGACATTAGGGACTGCCGAAGGTTATAATCAGCGATTGGGATCTAAAGTTAAGGTCAAACTTTTGAAAATCTCTAATGACCATAATGGGTGTCAAGCTTAGCATGATTACCGCTCATTGAGCGCAGGCGAATAAACAAACACAATGCCAAAACTTAGTGTTAGATGACGCTTTACGCTGCCTCGGATCTTAAATTGACTAAAACTGGGTCAAGTTACTTGGTACAGTGTAATACGCGCACGTAACTTCAGTAAACACGTCTACTAAGCTCACCCCGATTGAGATTATTTACGAAAGAAAAGTGTAGAATCTGATTACTGACGAATACAAAGACTACGATGGTATGGATCCGCAACACATCTCAGAGTTCGCCTCAAAGTTCGCCAAAGATCGCCAAGACCCAGTACCTAAGGCACGCGAAAATCTGGAACAAGCCTAGGAGAGGCAGAAGAAGTACTACGACTCGAAAAGAACAAGCTTCACCTTTAGTGTCGATGACTTAGTTCTGCTCGAAACCAAGAACATTCCACTCAAAACAGTCAATGCTCACATGAAGTTAAAGAAATCTAAGCCAACAGCGAAGAAAGTTGGATTGTTCAAAATAATAAACTCGATGATCAGCCCGAAAACAGCTAAACTAAAGCTACCGTAACACATGAAGAGACTGCATCCATGGTTTAACGTCGAATTACTCTATTTATATTCCGAATGCGTCCGAGCTCACAGGTCGACCGATTCCAAAGGCATCATCAATAAGCCTTGAGGCAGATACTGGAAAGGAACTACACCTTGTGAAAAATTTGCTTCGTTGTCAGCGCAGCCGCCAAGTGACATGGCTAGTAAAATAGCACGGCCTCCCAGAGTGTGATTGTACTTGGGAGCGCGAGGGAGCTATCCGCCATAATTTGCATTGGCAGCGACTAGAATAAGACTTTCGAAACCGCCAACGCGAGTCAAGTCCGGGGAAATGTCGTGTCATCGAGTCGTGCACCACGATGTGCCATACATTGGCTAAAAGACCATGACTATGCAGGATGACGTCATGGTATGGTATCACAGGCTGACGTCACGGTATGAAATTACAAGTATGACGTCATGGTATGACATCACAAGTATGAAGTCACCGTATGATGTCATTAGAAAAATTCTAGAATGACATATAATGATAAGCTTAAAGGTAGCACAGGGTAGCGAACTTAGGGGATCTATGTTAAATTAATTTCAATTTAATAAGTGAATGACTAGTCTTCACAGAGGTGATGCCACGGAAACAGAGGAAAAAATGTTGGACCTTCCACCGGGAATCCCTGAGTGGATGGCTTAGCTTGAGTCGTCACAAGGGGCCAAGGACCGGCCGATGGACAAGGAGTCCAGTGTATTCGGGTCCGCAATAGACCTAGCGTAACGGGGTGAATCGTTACATAACAATTTATAAGAAATTGTTAATAGAATGTAACTATAAGAGTTACATTCTCAGAATATTGTCATAAGGACAAATATTCTGTAGCACTCACGAGTAATTCCTAATTGGTTGATATAGGCCATTTTATCAACCAACAAAAACGCGCCACGAAAGACGCACGCAATGAGTGGTGAGCAGATAGCTGATATGCACATTTTATTTAGACATAGTTAGATGAAGATAAATAGTGATTTATTGCAGACATTAACTATTATAAATACAGTTCTACTTTTTACTTTAACCAAGTACTCGCTTCTTCTTACCGTCTTCCTCTGCACGTACGAGTGTACGTGAAGTTACGAGGCACCGCCTTATTCTGTCGTCAGAAAAAGTAACTTACACTGTCACCAGTACAAGCTTCAGGGTGCCCCGTTACACCTAGGATTACCCACAAATCGGCGAGCTCTCGACGTGACACCGTCGAGGGCTGAGTACCCACATAAGTTGCCATGGACATCCTTAGGGTAAATCGACCGGGGTGTGCTAGGGTAGCCGAGAATGCTGAGAAGGCCCAAGCGCCGCAGCTGGTGTTGTCGCTGCTGGTGTTGCCGCAGCACTATGTGCCATCTTCAGTGTACCATCAGGAACCGGTACCTCAACAGGCCGAGCCTTATGCGAGGGTGCTGTACACAAGACAACGTAAGCTGAACATTAATCCTTTTGATGAAAGAGAGCTTTTCCAGGGTCTAAGAAATGGCTTTCTTACCTGGGAAAAACATATCGTGCGGGAAGTCTCTTTTAATGAAAAAGCAAGCGGGTTTCATTGGGTCGAGGTGTCATTGTAGATGTCCTTTGACACAATCTCATCTGAATGATAGAGCGGTACTACAACCGCCAATACAAAGGGTGGTAGCAAGAAGATTCAACGTTGGACCATGCCATGCCTAGTCTGCTCCATACGTTTGCAATCAAGAGTGCACCAGCACAGAGTATAAAGCTCATCACTGTCGCCAAGATCCGCAAGCGCAGCTGGGTAGAAATGCATTTCAATCTAGTTGCAGTAAGCGAGGCATGTGGTGGAGCAGATAACTTGGTCCAGGAAAAGATTGTCCATTACATTAACCCAGAAATGAGAGTTTAAAGGCTGACACCGTTGTATCATCAAGAATTGACTACTTGAGCCAAGCGGAGGAGTTGGCGCACTTCATGCAGCTGACGAGATCGAGCTGCACAGAAAGCACATAAAAAGACGTCGTCAAGAACGCCCGAAAAGCGCGTGGGAAGGCGCAGAATGTGCGCAGAGACAGGAGGAAGTGACATAAGGCTACAAGAGAAACAAACTACGACGCGGATTTTGTGCTTGCAGTGGACGACTTAGGCACTGATGACGGATATTAAATACTCGACAGCGACTTAAATTGCCACTTAGTAAACGATGTGAACAGTCTCGATAGCCCAGAAGACTGTACAAGCTCGTGTATTGAAGCTGATGGTGGGCCCCTGCGCATTGCGAAGCATGACAGTGTTCAAATCACAACCTCAGTGATGGGCAAAATCACCAAAGTGCGGCTCCTGGACGTCCAACACGCCGAGAAACTGGAAGAAACATCTTTCCCGACGGCATTTTAGAGGTTGAATGGTTTACAATAGACTGCATAGATGATCACAGAGTTATTACCAACATCTACAGCTGATTGTTTATTTGTGACATGAAGAAGAATAAAAACGTGTTGGTAGCGGGATGTTTAAACGACCTTCGGAAGCGCCCATGACGGCTCTAGCACGGAACGAAGACGAATTGATTCAAGATGTGCAACACGGCACGCTTATGAACTTTCACAGAAGTCTGGCTAACCCGGACAACTTTGAGATCCTTATCATGGCAAAAAAAATACTGCCTCCGACTTACAGCTGACTGATCAAACGTCTGATAACTGTCTAGCTTGCGCTTAAGGAAATTAGAAAAGAACCCGCAGTCCTAAAAGACGCTGGCAAGAACGCGCCAATCAAAAATTGGAGAAGTCATCAGCTCCAATGTGAAGGGTCCCAGGACTCCTTGTGACAGACTGAAAATCGGTATATGTCCAATCTGTGGACCATCGCAAAAACTCCTCCTGCCGATTTTTCCCGGCGAAGAGAAAGACCTAGCAGCATAACATTTGTGACACTTCACGATTTTTGCTGGAAATTTAATTTACCGCATTTATGTGCTACAAACGGACGGCAGAGGATAATATCGCACCCTGGAACTCTTTTGCAAGGACAAAGAAACTGTGAGGCAAATTAGCGAGCCAAGAAAATAATTTAGTAGTAAAAAGGCCGATCGGATGCATTGCTTTATTAATATTATGGTAAGGAGCGTGGTATTTGCGTGCGGGCTGACTCTTAACTTCTAGATAGATGCGGCCTAGTAAGCGGAATGAACAAAAAATCGAATACCTAGCAAAGTGCACCCCTGTCGGCTATCACCTCTACAGTTGCTGACAAAAAAGGTACCGGTTTTATATGACTATTTAGCTTATGGGTCTCCGTGCACTGTACATCGAGACGTTAGGAACAAGTCGATTAGAGCTCGCATTTATCAAGGCTTGATCATCGGCAAGCTAGATGAAGTGAAGGGGTACCGCGTGTACATCCCAGAGGAAAAGATAGTGGTCGTAACTCGACACGTCAAGAACGTTGAAACCTTATCGAAAGATCAAAACGACTAACTACGGCGAGTTCACCTAAATGAAGTTGATGAAACTGTAAGCAGCAGTCAAGATCAGGAGGGAAAGACGCAAGCTCCTGTCCAGGCTAAGATGCGTGAAAATCTCTCGAGAAGTAATGGCTGAAAGCAGTGGGCTCATGTTACCACGGCAGCTACAAAAACACGTGATTGAAATAAGAACAGAAAATGAAGGAGCTTTTGCATGCGGTGAACAGTATTAGTGAAAGCGACACGAAATTCTAGAAACAGGCCATAAAGATTGGACTGGAAGACCAATGTGTGGCAGCGATAGATGAGGATGTGCAAGCTTTGAATGACAACAGAGTGTGGAATGTTGAAGCTTACCGGAAGGAAGTCATGTCCTACACATTAAAAATGTATCTAGAACCAAGATGGACGCCCAAGGAAGTGGTCCAGGTTGACACGTCTGGCTTCTTCTCCAAGCCTCGCCTCGCGAGTCTGCTGCTCCTCTTTCACGCGCCGCGCTTGCTCCGCTAGCGCCATTTCAAGTACGCGATGCGCTTCTCCTGCCACTCTCACTTGCTCGGCAAGCTCGATCTCTCGCTTGCGTTGCCGGTTGTTCTTCTAGTGTTAGTCATCTTGCTTGTGCCGAAAGAGACTCTGTTCTCTCTCTTGAGCTGCGCGGGTCTGCTAATTGTGTTGTAGTGCAAGCGCTTCTCGCTCCGATTGCAGACGTGCTCGAAATTGCGCGACTCTGCGCCCTATAGCTGCGCCGCCAGCTCTTCTCTTTGTTGCCTCTGGAGCTCTGCTTCGCTCAGCAGGTGTCGTTCGACCTGCTGTAGTTGTCCGTGCGCAGCTTGGTTAGCAGCTCGCTGCTCCTCTTGTTAAGTCTCTTGTGCTTCTGCCACTGCTCGCAGCTGCACGCCTTGGGCTTCTGCGGCGACTCGCAGGCCTTCGAGCGCGGCCGCAAGTTGTTGGAAGTGTTGCTGCTGCTCTTGTCGCAGCGCAATTTTTTTCGTCCTGACGCTCGCGTTGCGTACTCTGGACTCAGTCCAAAAGCCGTCGTGGAGGTCGTCAACATCCGTGGGTCTCACATGCGTCATTCGCATGGACAGGTATCTGAACGTTTTTGCTGCTCTCGTCGTTGGCACCAGATCTCTTGTCTCGGTCCTGCCTGGCCCAATGTTATTCCAGTCGGTGCCGGCATCTTCAGTCGTTCTCTCTTAAGTTCCTTTAGTCGCGCTACCATCGCAGCTTGTTGTTCCATGACAAGCGCGAGCTCGGGTCGCATGTCCTAACCGCTGTTGTCGCTTGATTTAGCCAGAGGTGTCTGCGCGACCTCTTGTGTGTTGCGACGCCTCGCCATCGATGCCGCCGCTGCGCGTTGGACAGCGCTCGCGTACTCGACGCCCCTAATTGGGTTCACAACCTTTTAGCATTGCATCAGCGTGCAAAGGGAGAAACGAGGGCGCGGTCGATGTGGTTTTCCAGACCGTATTGTGTGGTTTAGATTCTCACAAAATCTACTCTTGATCTCACTACACACTGCGTACAGATGCCCTTCACTATCTGAGGATTTCTGCAAGCTGCGTGTTGTCTCCACTGTCTCGCTCCCGCACATCTTCTCCACTTTGCTCTACCGCACAGATTTTTTCTCCACCCTTACCGTCAGGTGCCGTGCCTCGTCTTCCAACAGCATACACCTTCAGATGACGATCCAATCAGCGTCGCGTTGTAGTACGTGCACATGATATCTAGAAGCTTGGAGATCAGGATAGAAAATGGGTCAGGTTAGATAGAGAGCCAATTATAGCAGAGCAGCGACGTGGTAGTTGCACATCCGACCTTAGCCACTGGAAGCGAAATGTAACGTCGAGGTTCGATGCATCCAGGCACGTACTATCATTTAATGCCAGGATAACGCTTATTTGTAGGCAAAGGACGCTGGCAAAAATCTAGAAGCTGAGAGCGCACCACAGACGAGCAAAGGTTACCAATTTAAAAGTTATTCACTCCGTCAAGTTTTGTACAGTTTGTCTCCGCCTTGGGTGTCTGAAGCTAGTACCAATAGCTATTATCTTTAACGATCAGGCGGAAGAACAAGTAACAGTAAACTGTCAAAACACATGCACCATTGTCATTTTTCTAGCTGAACATTTTCATTGCGGTTTTGTAAATAACGCTTGAATCGCATCCGGATTCCACAGCATGTAGCCAATACTTAAGTGGATATCTTTGACCTTGAGATCATACTCATTAATCACCAAAATGGGGTCCATCTAGGCCACTATGTGATAAGAATATGGGACAGCATTTAGCTCCTTTTTTAAAACCTATAATTCCTCGTACACGATGACTCCGAAGAGCTCCTATCGACGGAGTCAGTCGGTACGTCCACGTCGACTCGGTATGCTTTACACCTGCGAGTTAAAGGATTTATGCATAGCTAACAGGGAATAAACACGTGAATTATCCACCATTTACAAAGTGACAAAAATAAAATGTTAGGAAACAACTTTTCGATCACGAACCATTCTTTATATCGGCTAACTCGTTATTGTGCTCAAGCTGCAGACGGGATCTGGTTTCTCAGACCCGAATATTGGATGGAATGTCTTGACAGTTCAGTTTTTTTAATCTTTTGGCCTGAACCCTCCTCACGACCGTACGTGATGCAAATTTTACACAATATGGATGTGATGATTTGTGACTCCGGGTCGAGTAAATTAACTTGCAGTCCATACTCAACGGTGTGCATCGTTTGGAATGGTGTCGAGCGTAAAGTAAAGGTCCCGCGATTCTTTGCCTCCGTATTCAAACACTACTAAACTACAGAAATGTGTTCAATTCGCCCTATTTATCATCGGTAAGATTGAAGATGCATAAGCTGACAGAGCGGGGTGCACTTTGTGCTACAAAATCCGGAGGTAAGGAAGTGAAATTTTGAAGTTTTAAAAGCAGGTGGGGAGAGGTGAGGATGGGTGAAGGGGTTTCTGGACCTATATAAAATATTTAGGGGCGTATGGGCGAATTGCAGTAAGTACTGGATACTCGCACCCGCACAATTTGTCAAAATGACAGGTATTCTACGGATAGAAGCCACTAAACCTCTTAGCCGCAACTTCCTTCCTACTTCTTTTGTTTGCTTTTGGCCTGGAGACACGAAAAAATGATTAATTGAATATGCATGCCACAAAAATTAATCTTCTCAAATGCGCTTTTTGCTTGGTATCAGATTAGGCAAATTGGGTATTATTTCACAAAATAACTGATCTACAGAGGATTGCCCATTATCAACCGATGCGTTTAACTTTCCCTGATTTTCATTAATTCAATTTTTTTTAGTTCTGAAAAAAATGCATCTCTGGCAAATCTCTTCTTTAAGGAACTTAGCCCATGATTTCAATAAGTTTGGTGCTGTTAAGTGTTCTATGTATCGCGCAAGCAAGCTCACCGGTCCTATTTTGTTTACAAATTACAGGCTTATCTATGTTAGGAAAGAAAGATGCCAATACAAAAGTAGAAACTTTGATGTCTTAGCCAACTTGCTACGATACTTCCATGTCTTCAATACTGATTATTATCGCCATGAATTTATTACACCATCCGGGGATAGAAACATCTTTCAGCAGAAGAGGCCGGCCTACTGCCACGTTTTTGTAGCGACTACTGTTTCTTCAACACTCCTCTTCGGACGATGCGCTTCGACTATTCCTCCTGTATCAATCAACTAAGGTCATTTTGCCACATATTTCCGTCAATCTAGGCGCCAGGAGAATCTTCGTCAACAGGTCCCCTCTCATTAATTACGACCATAAAGGATAGGTAACCCTTTTCTTGGTAAAATCACAGTTGATATTCATCCGCTTGTCCAAGCGCTTCGCACTAGACATCCTTACTTCAGACTAAAACATATGGTTTGCTGCTCGATTATTTCTTCGCATACTCATTGGCTCCGTCACAAGAAGTCTAATCTTCAACAGCTACTATTGCAATCCCAGCATTTCTCGCCCGATGTGTGACAGTGAGGTGAATTCGGCCGCCATAATAGACAGCGATACTCCGGTCTGAGTTTTGCAGATCCAATGCACGGTCACTTCACTTACAGTAAAAACATCACCGGTAGTCGACTTGCTGTCGGCCTTGTCTGATGCAAATTCTGCATCGCTCCAGCTTATCACCGTATCTCCAGCATCCAGTCGCTGACACTGGTCTAGTGCGTGCGCCTCGTCGCTCTGTCAATTTCAAAGATAGTGTTAGACATTAAATACCGAGAGACCCACTAAAAGGATAAAGACTAATGACAGAAAGTCTCGGATATTTCTCTCCCTTCTTGCCTCGTTTCGCTGACGGTGACACTGGTGAGACATCGTCGTTGGCGTCTTCACCTATGAGCGATCTTATGCCACTTGCTTCAGCCAGAGACCATAGTTACTTAGCATCTCGTCGATTGCTGCAATCTGATAAATGATGTAAGTCTTTAACTCCTTCAAGACCACCCTCGTGCCTGATAGCTTGTTAACTTGACCCAAATCTTTTATAGAAGAACGTATATGGTTGCAACAAATTATGCTGAATTTACCTGACTTGCGCTGTTACCAACAGAGAATCCACATATACCCCGAGAATTGTCAGATGGACCTTGTCGTGCTTGAAATACAGAGACGCAACTGACACGCATTGCACGGACCCGGCCTCTTCCAGTATCGCGTCCAGTAATTTTTGAAAAAATTAACCAGCTTGCTCAAGGCTGGAAATGAATTTTAAGCCTAAGTGCCAGTTCGTCGCTGCCTTGAACTCCAAGTTGCTTCAAGGATGCACCTACTAACATCAAACAATCCTCTTAGTTTGCTTTCACGTAGGCATTAGGTATGTCACGATGTCTCGCTGGTACCCCGCCCCCCCAACGTAGGGAAAGTACCAGTATGATCTTCACCGTACTTAACTTCAGCTCTGCGGCAAACGTCAAGCCATGAGCTACAACGGAGACCTGCTCGTTTCTGCAGGCAACTAGCCTCGCATTAAAACGCTCTATCTTTTTGCGGGTCGCGCGTGGCAGCATGCGCAGCACAACGCTGCAGACGTCGAGCTTCGCGTGCGTGAGGTGGAAGAACGAGGTTGTGCGATATCGACGCACTAAGCCGCAGCACGCGAGACTGCAGCACGCGAAGTGGTTGAACGAGAAGCAGTGGCACGCGATGAGATGAACCGCGCAGCCGCTCGAAAGACTCTGCAGAAGCCAAACGTATTCGCGCCGACTGGAGGAGCGCTCGTCAGCGGATTGACTCGTGTACCATTGGCGAAGGATGCGAAGCTCGACGCTCGAGTGTTCACCAACAAGGAGCTCCTTAAGAGCTTGGGCGACAGGTTCAAGCACTGGTACCGCGCGTTCCGGGAAGAGCTCGAAATGGCTTAAAAGGCGTGCGGCTACGCGTGGCCGGAGAGGTGTAAAATCATCAGGCTTGGCGAGTGACTCCGAGGAGAAGCTGAAGGGTTCTTCCATGGACTCAGGGACGAGTGGTGAGACACGTACAGAATGCTTTCCTACGCGATGGAGGAGATGTAATTGGCCTTCTCGCGCAGCTTCACTAGCGCACAAGTGTCCGAGCTCTTTAACAGGCGCAAAAGCAGCAGCGACACCTGGCTTACACACTACCTCTTCCTCATGGCGGTGAGAAACGCCACGGGCGTGTCGGCGTCATTGGTACTGGAAATCCTCGTTATTCATGCCAGCCCAGAGATGAGACCTGTCCTCGCAAGCCAGTACGACCGAAAGCGCACCGACTTTGTGATTCACGCGCTTAAAATCAGACAGTGGGCGCAAACTAATGAGTAAAATGAAAAAAGGGCTCCTCGGCCAGTTAGAGCGGCAGTAGCAGTAGCAGTAGCAGCAGCGACCGCCACCGCACGCACGGACACCAGGGTGTGCAAAATCTGCAGCACAGTCGGACACATCGCGCGCACGTGTCCCAGTCGTCCAAAGAAAGAAGATGACGAAGAGACGTCTCGATGGGCGCTTGCTGGACTCGTAGCAGGTTGTGTAACGGAGGAGGACTGGATTGTAGACGAGGGTGCCCGCACCCACATCGTCAAACACAGCTGCATGATGAATGAATACGAGAGGTGCAACGACCCCAATGGCGTGACGCTCCATAAGAAAAATACGCTGCGGGGGACGCGGCGCGGCAAAGCGCGACTGCGCGTAAAGATTGTCGGCGAGACGTACTGGATCGATCTGCGCAACGTCATCTACGCGCCGAAGCTGGCCCATAATCTCATCTCCCTCGGCACACCCATGCTACACGGCTGATGCCTCGCCGACAAGAACAACAGGCACGCAGTGGTGATCGACGACGACGTCGTGATGTACTTCCAGATTAAACAGAGTGTCCTTGTCGTCGACCGTAGGCACGTGAAGCAACGAGCAAGCAGGTTAAAAAACGTGATCATGCTCGCGATCAGCGAGTCGCAGCCCCGAGAGGTAACAATGCAAACAGGGAGCTTGATGAGCCTCCACAGGCGCTTTGGTCACCTGAATTACGAAGACGTTAAGCGACTCGTCGCGAATTCGGCGAACGGACTAGAGCTCACAGACAAATTGAGAGGGAGTTGCTTGACATGCTTCGAGGGCAAACAGTCCAAGGCGGCACAGCCCAAGAATGATAGCGGTCTTAGCGCGTCGATCGACGTGGTCGGTGGGGTCATTTGCAGTGACCTTAATGCCCCATCGCGCCCATGGACAAGCGGAAAAACCAATACTTGATTTATTTTATCGACCACAAATCCAACTACGTGCGTGTATTCGTCGCAAAATCCAAGGACGAAGTCGCACGAAACTTCCAGCACTTTATGGTCTTTTTTGAAAGGCATTTTAACGTGCGAGTTCACATGGTGCGGACGGATGGAGGAGGCGAGTACCGCAACCTCGACCTCTTTGTTAGCAGACGGGCATCGGCAGGCAAACCACTAAGCGTAACACGTCGGCATTGAACAAAAGAGCGAGAGAATGCACCGGACCGTCATGAATACGGTTCGGTGCATGCTCTTCGGTTGTGGCCCTTCGCTTAGCTACTGGAGATACGCCGCGGAATACGCGGCGTACGTGTTGAACTGGATGCCGACTCGCGCAAATTCAGGCCACAAATCGCCTCTGGAGCTGCTCACGAAGAAGCCAGTGAGTGTCGTGGACGTGGTGGTGTTTGTCTCGCCTTGCAAAGTGTACCAGAACCCACTAAACGCATCTTTGAGAAAGCGTGGAGCGCCAGGGATCATTGTCGGAAAAAAAACGAATTAGCCAAGGGGTACAAGGTACTGATTCCCGAAAAGCAGGTCGTGGTGACTACCCGACCCGTGTGTCAAATCGAAACTCTGTCAGCTGACGCCAACAAGCAGCTGAGGCAGGTGATCGAGTCAGAAGCTGACGACGAGCTCGAGCAACTAGCAGATGAACGAGAAGAAAGTGAATTAAGGGAGGAATCGAACGGTGAGCGCTCAGGCGAACGAGCTGCCGCACAAACCGCGTCAAACCCGACAACGACGACTCCGACGCAGAAACAAACGCGCGCGGAACGCGACAAGGATCCAAAGTCGAAGTCTAAAGCGAACAGACAAGAAAAGGCATCGGCCCCCACATACGCAGAGGAAAATGTATCAGATGCAGATGATGACGATAGAAAAAGGCTTTTTCGCAGGTGTGGACGTGTGAGAACGAAGTCGGCAAAGCAGAAATCAGCCGACGATGCAAAAGGTTCAGCGCGACGTGGACCGCACGAGCCAGTTGCCGCAGAGGCGCTTTGTTCAATCGGTTTTATTGTCCGCATTAGGGGTGGGGGAGGTATAGTACACAAACTTGCCCGACCCGAAGACGTACAAGGCGTCGCGCGCACTTCCAGACGCGCACCTCTGGGCCCAGGCGATGGACGACGAGGTCGCCCCGCTGGAAACAAATAACACATGGTAGATGATCAAACCCGAGAAGCACATGAACGGCTCCGTAACAAGTGGGATCTCAAAAAGAAGAAGAACGTCAGCGGGTCCATCGAACGCTACAAGGCAAGACTTGTATCAGGAGGCAACAGTCAAGTGCTTGGACGAGACTACAACCTAACATTTGCAGCTGTTTTGGACACGACTAGCGGCAAGATCATTCTCGCGGTTGCCCGGCTCTGGAACGTGCGCGCGCGACACTTTGACGTCCCGAGCGCCCACCTGAAGGACTACAAGGAGGAGGAGTTCGAGATTTACATGCGCGTTCCAAAAGGAATGACGGTCAGTGACGATGAGCTGCGAACGTTTAACGTGGCGAGCGCCGGCGAGACGTGCCTGCAGCTCATAAAAAGCCTTTACGGGCTCAAGCAGGCCGGCCGACTGTGGAACCAGTTACTCGACCAAACGCTGAATGACGCCGGTTTGTCACAGTCAGCCATGGACGCATGTGTATACGTGAAGACAACAGCCGAAGGAACGACAGTAGTGGGCGTGTATGTCGACGACCTGCTTGCAACGGCGACGAGCGACGAGCTGCTTGACGCCTTTGGCGCGGCGATGCAAATCCTGGAGCTCAAGTGCCTCGTGAGCGTCAAAAACTTTCTGGGCATGCGCATCGGGTACGACGACTTGCACGGGTACACCGTCGACCAAGAGTAAATGATCACCGAACTGCTTCACGAGAACCGTCTGGAGAAGGCGAACGCAGTGCGCTCACCACTAAGTGACGAAGCGTCGATCGAGTCAGAGAGCACCGACGCGCTGCCGCTTCCCGCGCGGGGAGCCGGCACGGCAGAACGACTGACGATCACGAGTTTCCAGAGCCTTGTCGGGAGCCTGCTGTGGGTCGCACGATGCGGTCGACCCGACATCACGTGCGCGGTTAACCGCGCGAAACGCCGCAGCCACGCGTCCATCTACCACGACATGAATCTCGCGCGTTGAGTGCTAAGGTACCTCGCTGGCACGGCTGCACTGAAGCTGCACATGGGCGGCGCGTCGATTGCCAATGAAGTAAAAATCACTAGCTACACCGACGCGGATTACGCGGCCGACAAGACCACGCGAAATTCGATCAGCGGTGCGGGTGCTGCTCGTCGACGGGATGCCCGTCGGATGGCAAGTTGAGAATCAGTACTCAGTGGCGCTATCAACTGCGGAATCCAAGTTCGTGGCAGCAGATTTTGGTGCGAAGGAGCTCCTGGGCGTAAAGAATTGTTTCCGTGAGATGAACGTGAGTGTGAAGTTGCCGATACAGATGATGGTGGACAACCAAGCTGCTATCAAGCAGATCTACAACGAAGCCACGTCAAGCGCACAGAAGCACGTCGACGTGAAAATGAAGTTCATACGCGACACGAGCTCCAAGAGTATCGTAAAGCCCGGATACATCGCGACCATCGAGATGATCGCGGATCTATTGACGAAAAGTGTCCCGGCGCCAAGAGGGGCCGACCTACATGAGATGATGGGATTGCGGTAAATGCGGAGCCGTAGGATGAGTGTTGGAAGACGAGGCACGGCACCTGACGGGAAGGGTGGAGAAGCTGTGCGGGAATGAGACAGCGGAGACAGCATGCAGCTTGCAGAACTTCTGAGATAGTGAAGGGTATCTGTACGAAGTGTGTAGTGAGATCAAGAGTAAACTTTGTGAGAATCTAAACCACACAATACAGTCTGGAAAACCACATCGACCGCGCCCTCGTTTCTCCCTTTGCACGCGGATGCAAAGCCAAAATATGCAACATGAATGGTGCTGTCCTAGAGGTAGTGACTAGGCTGCAGCGTCTACGGTACCTGCCTCTTTCTGTGTCCGGTGCATGTTGAACCAGCTGTATATCAAGCTAAAGGAGGCATGACCCGCTCTAGTTGAAGGTATTTTGATGAAGAAACTTTGCGCAATTATTGTTTAGCAACGTCTCCAGCAACGGCTTGTAAAAGCTACGTAATCGACGTGCCCCAAGATGATCTTCACGCGCTGGCATTTATATTACAGAATTACCCCATGGCTGAATGAGCATCACGTTGAGGTGCTGGTGCATTTCAGCAGTATGTCGCACACTACTTCACCAGATTCATTTCCTGGTGGCTGCTCAACGCCATCACATCATCACTAACTAATCCTATTAACACTGTGGCTCAATGTCTGCAAGGGCGCCGCATCACACCGCGCTAGCAATCAACCGAGCTGGAGCAGCTAAGCGTCAGGCCAATGGCGGCAACAGGCGCATTGGACCCACTGCTAAAGAAGCTGTTACTACTAATGACTCGAATTGGCATGTTGTGCGCAACGACTGGTGTGCTGAGATAGTCTTGATCCGCAATAATTTCGAGGACATGTGCATCTTTGTTATACAACTTCTTTGCGATTAAAGGACGAAGTTATTACCAGATCGTCAAGAACGTTTCCTTCCTCGTTTTCGATATTTTAGTGGGAATCATTGATATCATTGCCGTGCAAGATAAAGGGATGTCAAAGCTGTAAGTAAATCGCCTGTTACTAAATATTAAATCATTTAATCGTAATGTTGTAACGGAAATTAGCATAGTAACTTCAAAATTTCCACCTTTTTTAAATAAAAAATCTTAATACACAAAAGCTAAATAGGGAACGGAATTCGATACCCCGGTAATTAATGCCGTAAACGATGAGTGCAAATAATTAAATACTTGTTAAATATAACAGTAACGCGTTGAGAACTCCACTAGAAAAGTATAGTCGCATTATAAAAAATTAAACTAATGGAGAAAGTAAATTTTGACCCTATGTAATATTTTTCTACAAATTTATTGTCTGACGACTGAGATCACTCAGCTTTACCTTCAGCTACTTTTGTAAAAATTTTTACAAATAAGATCTATTCTGCATTTCACATTTTTAGTTTTGACTAGCTCAACAGAATAATTATCACTATCCGAAGTTGAGATTTATCAATTATTTATAAAATTGTAAATGTCGGAGCGACTACGAAAACATTTTTATTTGTAATATTGATGTTAGATAATAAGGCTTTATTAGGCTTAAAAATATGTTTTTGGTTACATACCCTATTTTACGAGATCATTTTTTACTATATAATTTGTAAATTTTTTAATTACATCACGCCCCTGAGCTGCTACCAGCCTCGCGAGCTGGTAGCAGCTCAGGGGCGTGATGTAAATAACCGTCTCGTCTTGTTCCTAGGTTGGCCGTTTCACATTTTGTCTGATCTCAGAAGCATAATAACCAGAACACTGTACAATACGGAGCCTTAGGTGCTGTGATAAATGTTGTTCAAGATTGTCTGCTAGATATGCATGCCTGCATCTCCCTCGTCTTATTCGATATCATCTGGGGATTTCCCTGCCTTTGCGGCAGATTTACAAATTTAGACGATCTCTACGGTGGACCGGCCACGAATTTTCCTAACACAGCGTCAGGAGAGTCTGACTTTTCCTTGCTTAAAATCCACAAGACTGTGTTCACTGGGTCGCTAACTGAGTTCTAACTGGATAGCTGCTTGCAACGAAATCGAGCTACAACGCTATCGAACTGCTGATATGTTCAAGTTGATGCAGTGAACGGAGAACACTAATATCCTTGGTCACTTATGCTCAAGTGAACTATGCACATAAAGGTAAAGAGAACTTGATAGTATTGAGTGTCCTATGTGCCTAATGTGCCTAAGACTAGACAAGACCGGTACCGAATATGATTTTATTAAGCAAAGGTCTAATTTACCCAATCTAAAGAGGGTTGATAATGGATTATCTTCCCGGGAAAAGGTTTGATTGACTAAAATGTAACACGTCAATCTCTAATTTGTATTTGTATTTTGTGAATGGCCTTGACCAGGGACACTCCCCAATTGCTACGTTGTGTACGATTTACCCCAGTCTTCTGAAGCCGATCGCACAAGGCTGAGGTTTAAATATCAAGGGCTCCAAGAACAATATTACATCCGCTGCAGGCACTAAAAACTGATATTGACCTAAAAGTTAAAATTCAGAAGGAGGAGCAAGCGCAGTTGGAGTTATGAGAAACAGTGCAGACGGAATGCTGAAGATGGGGGTTCCTTGTGTCGGCCCTTCGTGTGGTTATTGAAGCGCGATGCGAACGAGGAAGGAGCGCATTGAGCTAAACATGGTACTAATTATATTGTAGGACATTCTTATTTTGTATTATCTATGGGTGCCATTTTAGCAAATTTTCAGGATACTACTATTGACTTAAAAGGCTGGCCTGTATTGACCAGAACTCCGATCGGGATCTTGCCGTCCAACCACTTCTTCGTTAGATGCTAAACGAAGTTTCGCAGCTTTTCATCGGAATTGTAACGCCATGTGTCATATCCGCCTGATTCTAAATGCTTTGTGGAGGCACAGTTGCATCGAGAAGCCTCTTAACAACTGCATCCTGCTCGTGAAAGATTTTGGTGGATTTATTGATCGGCTAGAAGCGACGAAGGATTGCTGTTGTAGTAGTCTGTGATGATGATAAAGGTCCAAGATTTGTCCGCTTCAGCGTTACCGCACCTTTTAAACGGGCACTCCATAAACCTACATGCACCATCGCCGAGGTCATCACTGTTGTTGTAGGTTCCGCCGCGATCGCACTTGTAGTAGACCTGTTGCGGACCCCGTTCAGTTTTATTAATCTCTCGATGGCTGTGGCATACTCTTGGACTGCCGCAAAACCATTTAAGGCAGACGAATCTTGTACCTGGAAGGAGATCCGGTGCCAACGAGAGCGGCAGGCGGGAATAGGGGCTTTATCAGAGACGTCTGCCCCTCTTTCGGTCCGGCGTTCAAAATTTTGGGAGTCCGGAGACAGTGCGTGTTTGTTTCTGGTGTTTTTTGCTCAATTCATTTTTATGAGGGGACTCAAACATAATTGCTCGGACGAGACGGGCCTTTGAAAGGTTCTTTTTTAGGAAGGAGAATTATCTTCTTTAAGCTTAACAACCCATTAAAAACAACAACAGCAATCCGGTTGGGTATATCTACATTCGACTGCACTGTAAAAGTAATTTTAGCATTGTCAAGTGTGACTAGATATCGTATATCAGGCTGGCCGGTGTGCCTGGAGCAAAAGTGAAATGTGATATTAGTCGGCCTTGATAAAATTTACTCCATACTCCATTTTATCAGAATGCAACCTATTTACCAAACCCACACCACAAATTGATAGAGAATTTAACTAAATAGAATAATATCTTGCCATCATTCCTATGCAAGACCGCAATCGCACAAAAATCTGTAAATGTCGTGCAAATGGTAAGTATTTGACCAAAGCAAGTTTTAGTACGCAATGGACGGCTTAAGCTCTTTGACTTCGTAAACAAATTGACCGAAGACCACGGCGGACCCTTCACTACATCTCAGATACATCTAGGTTACAATTTTTATCTCTCAGAAATGGCGACATTCATGTTTTAGCCAAGTAATGTAAAGATATGAATGTAATAAAGGATAAGTATTGGAGTGACATTCGTGTATTTTATGAGGCAGTAACAACTCTCCACTGGTGCCCATACGACCGACTATCAGAGGGAGTAATCCGACCCCGTAACTTGGATATCAACGAGATCGCCTTATCCACTGTGTGGATGCTTGATACGCGAGCCTTCTAACCACTTATGCCGTCTAGAGTTCTTGCGCATTGTCCCTTACAATCTTGCTGCGTCCAAACGCAATTACGGGGTGAGAATTCTTGTCCCCTAGCACATTATTTGGGGATATCACTTGGTTTCAGTACGCGCGAGTTTCTTGACATCGAAAGGATAATATTCCAGCCCGAAAAAAGAAGTTAGCACGTGCGCTTAGAAGCAAATATAATCCTGTTTAAAGTCAACCAAACACAAGCTAAATATAAAAAAATTCCTGTCTATAAGCCAGAATATGCTGCCACGAGTACTCTATATCCCGTTGATCGTTCCTTCGCATACGTGGTCCACTTCACATAGATAGATAATCAATCTCCTTGGGTAATTCTAAATTTCATTGACCGATCGTCGATCTCTTTGGCCAATCGTCGGTCTCCTCAACAGATCGTTAATCTCTTAAGCAAATCGTCGATCTCCTTGACTGATCGCCAAATTTCTGTGACCGGTCGTCGATCTCCCAAGGAGATAGACATCTCCTTGGATTATCATTAATTAATTTCTAGAACCGTGATCCCTGCCAATTTGTCGATCACATTCCCGACTTTGGAAAACCTCATGCTCGATTGGTATCTTGACTCAATCTTGGCAAATGATGTTCGATCCCGTTGTTATGATATAATTGATCGCGGTTTCTGCGATATTCACTCTTGGTGTGGTAGTTTCGATCTTGATATTGCGATATCTGGTCTGTAAATTGTGCATGTTAACAGCCAATCGACCATTCTCAAAGATTTAAATCACGTTTTGAGATCACTTCACCCGACAATGGCCCCACCTCCCCGATTGCTTCAATCCTTTTACCATAAATGCGTCAAAAGCTGAAAGTTGTTGCCTTTTT